GCAACATGCTCAATGGACTGAAAGTCTTGGTAGCCACTGGATGCTCCCAGGCTATAGCGTCCCAACAGACAGCCCGTAACAAATGGCCCTGCCAGAGGGTACTCAGAACCAAGGCCAGGAGACAGAAAACTTCTCTGTGGGAGTCAAACACTACGGTGGCAAAGGATTCTTCTGGTCAGAAACAAGACTGCAAACTTGGTTTGATCAGTCCCGAGGCTGTCACCAGCAATGAGACAGTGGAAAGAGGCCTGAGAAAGCCACCTGGGGTTTGCCTACCCTTAGCAGATTATTGAAAATGACAGCAGTGACGTGAAGAAATTGATGAACGGCTGGGGGCCGCGATGGGAAGGCATCTGGAGAAAGTGTCACTGCTAGAATCCAGCAATGTGGCCCAACTAACTGCTAGTTTACAGCAATCTCTCCTAAAGAACAACTCTAAATTCATAAAGTTGTCATCTGTAACCACTAGACACTCTTCCCAATGGATTCCATCTAATGGTTGCATGACAACGCCCATTGTTGAATATTAGTTCTGAAATGAATAGCAAATATTCTGGAAAGGCCACTTTAGTCCCTTTCAGAGGCTATGGACAAGGGCTTGGGAGAAACTTGTATTGTGGTAAAGGAGAGTTAATGACAATGTAACAGAAAGCGCTAAGACAAAGGCCAGAATGTGTCTGCAGGCCTGCCCTCTAAGATTTCTGTCTGGAGTGAAGAACAGACTCGTGGAAACTGTTTTAGACAAAAGTTTGGCAGATCCCTTGATGTTGGATTTCGGGCTCCTCCAGCAGCCTAGAGACACAGTGGAGAGGCTTCATTGTGGGGCTGGGCTTTGGAAGCCTGAACAAAAGGCAGAAGCTAATTAAATGTAACTACAGACTTCCATGACACTTCACAGCAGAGTAGAAAATAATAATGCTATTGACGAAAGCTTTGTAGGCTAAGTTGAATACCTGCATCGCAGGTAGTATTAGTAAATTTATGATATGGCTTTCTTTCCTGATGTAATAAGCTTTATGAGCTCAAATAAGTTCTGATTATATATGAGATGTGCTGGCCACGTGAGAAGGTACTGTTGACACCTTACCCCATGCTCCCTGGGCCCTCCTCTGAGTTCACCTGCAGCTGTGGCCAACAGCTGCCAGCATGGCTGTGGCTTCTCACCTCAAGGGCCTGCGTCTCTGCTTTAGGGCTCACGGCAACATCATGGGAGCTTGCTGAACCGTGCACAGGAGCTATTTGAAGGGCAGGGGCGTTAAAGCCTTCAGAAACAACTCCCAATGGTAGGGGAAGGGAGAATTGTACATGCTATGGTCTGAGTTTGTCCCCACCAAAACTCACGCTGATATTTGACCCCCAATGTGGTGGTTTGGGGAGGTGGGGCAGAAAGGGAGGTGTTTGGGTCATGAGGGCTCAGCCCTTGTGAGTGGCTTGGTGTCATTCTTAGGGTAGTGGATTTTCCCTCTGGTGAGAATGCATTAGTTCTCACAGAAATGGATTAGTTACCCAGAGAGTGCATTGCTATAAAGACAGGACACTCCTCGGGTTTTCTCTCTTCCCACATGTTGGCTCCCCCTTTGAACGTCTGCATCATGTTATGACGCAGCATAAATGCCCTTGCCAGAAGCTCCAGCCATACCCTTGAACTTCCCAGCCTGCAGAACCATCAGCTAAATCAACCTCTTTTCTTTATAAATTGCCCGGTCTTAGGTATTCTGTTATAGAAACACAAAACAAACTAAGACAGTTGATTAATGTCCAGCCTCCCATTCTGAGATGCTTCCACACAGTTTCTCAGAGGGTACCCAGAGCAATTGAGCCCCCTTTGCCCAGTGTGGTCATCTGCTCGATAATGCACCCTTTCTTAGCCTTTCTATCTTTTCTGTCTCATTTCTCCACCCCCACATGAGCTTCCTGGGATCACCCACAAATAAACAAGTCCTTGTCTCAGGTAGGGTCTCTACTATTCAAGGTTCTCCAGAGAAACGGAACCTGTAGCGTGTGTGTGTGTGTGTGTGTGTGTGTGTGTGTGTGTGTGTGTGAATTGGCTCATGTGATTCTGGAGGCTGGTAAAATCCAAAATCTGCATAGCCAATGTCCCAGGTCAAAGGTTCCCAGGCAGGAAGAGCTAATGTGCAGTTCAAAGGCCATTGGGTAGGAAAAATTTCTCTTCCTTGGGGAGGGTCGGCCTTTTGTTTTACTCAGGCCTTCAACTGATGAAATGAGGCCCACCCACATCATAGAGAACAATCTGCCTTACAAAGTCTACCAACTTAAATGTTAATTTCACCCAAAAACACTGACATAGAAACACCTAGAATAATATTTGACCAACTATCCGGGCACCTCATGGTCCAGTCAAGTTGACACAAAATTAACCCTCACAGAGTCTGATTTTTTTGGGAAACCCAAATTAAGACACCAAGTGTAGCTCATCATTTTGGAGAACATTCTTCAGTTTGTAGAGAGAGTGGAAACCTCTAAGGAGAGTATTTTACACAAGCTACTCACCTCAGGAACCATATATTTCACTCTCTGACGCCTTGTTCACATTCTAATGCATAAACTTCTGGCCGCCGTTAAGGAGGCACTCTAGTCATCAGGGAAAACCAGACCTGGCATCACTGTCCATGCATGTGAGGCAGTAAGAGCTATGGTCCAGGACGGAATGAGAGCTTTACCGTGTGCACATCTGGAGTGTTCAGTGCCACCTGCCTGGCGTATGCTCAGATCTTCAGGTACACTTTGTCTCTCTCTCTGGACCAGGCACTTAGTTCCTCTAATAGGGAGGTTTTCCAGTTGCTTACACCACCTACACCGATTTCCCAGGCTCTTGGGTGAACCCCAAAGCCCCCTGCGGTAGCCAAAATGGCTTCCATTGCTGTCGCTGTCCCTGGTGCTGACCACATGCTGACGTCTCTGCCTTGCACCTTTGTTGCTGTCCTTGGTTCTGCCCAATGGTTCTTTTTTTTTTTT